TCCTGTGGGCGGTAGTCACCCCATACCCATCCTGTGGGTGGTAGTCACCCCATACCCATCCTGTGGGCGGTAGTCACCCCATACCCATCCTGTGGGTGGTAGTCACCCCATACCCATCCTGTGGGCGGTAGTCAAAAGATTACAGAGGTACATAATGGGTCCAGGGACTGGGCCTCAAAGTTTTGATAGCTGAGCAAGTTACAGAGGTAATGAATTCACAATTTACAAAGGTAATGAACTCACAATTTACAAAGGTAATGAACTCCAGGTAGGTCTAGTCACAATCATGACAAGTTACAAAGGTATTTACAGATTACAGAGGTACGTAATGGTCCAGGGACCGGCTCCAAAGTTTTGATGGCTGAACTAGGTACAAGGTAATGAACTCACAAGTTACAAAGGTAATGAACTCACAAGTTACAAAGGTAATGAATACTGTAAGAATGGTTACTTACTTTTATACATGGCTACAATAAATGAACAAATTTAGAGTAATGAGCAATTCACACTTCCACACCCGGTCACAACTGTAGTGAGTTATTGTGCAAATATTGATTGTTGATCTCTCTCTCTCTCCACACACACACTACAAATTCATACACACACACACATAAACACACACACACACACACACACACACACACACACACACACACACATAATCACACACACACACACACACACACACACCACACACACACACACACACACACACACACACACACACACACACAACACACACACACACACACACATAAACACACACACACACACACACACCACACACACACACACACACACCCCACACAACACACACACACACATAACACACACATAATCACACACACACACACACACACACACACACACACACACACACACACACACCCCACACACACACACACACACACACACAAAATACACAAACTCATACACACACACGCACACACACTCATACACACACACACACACTCATACACACACACACACTCATACTCACACACACACACTCACACACACACACACACACTCATACACATACACACAAACACATACACACACACACACTCACACTCACACACTCATACACATACACACAAACAAAACACACATACACACACACACACACACACACACACACACACACACACACACACACACACACACACACACACACACACACACACACACACACACATGGTAATGCTTTATTTACAGCTAACAAAGTCAGGGTATTTCTCCAGAATGGTCTGTAATATACCACTGTGGATAAAATACTTTGCCATTTCTTGAACATTTCTGAGTGAGTTGTTTCTAAATTCATTAATTTTATCACACTCCAGTACATAATGACGCAGGGTGTGACAATAATCGCCAAATAGGACAAGTGAAAATTTGTGTATGCAATAATTTCGCCAAAATCATTCTGAACCTAACGAAAAAAAATATATTTCACTGTGTTTAATATTAAATTATTGTAAACAAATCTAAAATATATTTAGTTGGGTTACGCTAAAATAAATTGTTCTTGTTATAATAAGGTTAGGTAAGTTTTCTAAGTTCCTTTTGGTGCAAAATTATAAATTTTTACATCAACATTAATGAAAAAAATATATCTTTAAACGTATAAGAGAAAATTTTAGAAAGGACTTAATTTTAAATGAGTTCTTGGTAATTGACCGGTTTTACATATTCGGCACGACATATATATTAATATATAATATATATATATATAATATATATATATTATATATATATATATATATTAATATATATCGTATTGTAACCACGATAGAGTAGTATTTAATCACTAACAACACTGCGACTAGCCGTGGGATCGAACCCATGTTGTTTTGGTCTGCCTCATGGTGACCGAAAATCACATCACTTATGCAACATATAGGAATCTTTATTTAGGAAACGTTTTGCCACACAGTGGCTTCATCAGTCCAATACAAAGCAGAAAGGTGTAAGGAGATGAGTTTGAGGTAATCAGTCCCTCAGCCTGGAGTCGATGTGTTCAGTGCATCAGTCTTGTAGAATGTACAGTGTAGGGCCGTAGACATGACTTATATACTGTAGTCAGGTGACGCGAAGCAGGAGGAGGCAGGGTCATAGTGGTACCATCCACTAGTCGAAGAAGGTCTTCTTCCAAAGGTTGGACAAGCTTGAAGAATTCTTTGTATCAAGATCACATGATGATGCAGTGTCTGAGGCACCCACACCATCATATGTCCTCAGATCATGGTACAGCAACTAGCTTTGCTGAGTGCATGATCTTTGTAGGATCAGGTGGTCCTGTGGGTAAGAGCATCATGTGATTTTTGCTCACCCTGAGGCAGGCCAAAAAAACATGGTTTGAGCACTCGGCTAGTCGCAGTGCTGTTATTTATATACAATGGAACCCTAGATATCGGCTGATGCGGATATCAGCCGAAATTCTGTCCTGGATTTCGGCCGGCGACTCGGAAATTGGCCTTATTGCATGCATCTGCACATTCATCCAAACATTTCGTTTGTTTTTTGTGGTTATTTATTGAGTGCAACTGTGAAATAAGCCACCATGGGTCCAAAGAAAGTTCCTGGTGCCAGCTCTTTGGTAAAGAAAGTGAGAAACATGATAGAATTCAAGAAAAAAATATAGCAAAGTACGAGAGTGGTGTATGTGTCTTGGAGCTTGCTAGGATGTATGAGAAATCTAAATCAACAATCGCTTCCATCCTCGCAAAAAAAGTAGAGATCAAGGAAGTTAATGTTGTGAAAGGGGTAAATATGCTAACGAAACAAAGATCATCAATAATCGAAGATGTGGAGAAGTTACTGTTAGTGTGGATCAATGATAAACAATTAGCGGGAGATAGTGTTGTGGAGTCGATCATTTGCGAAAAGGCGAGGCAGTTGCATGCGGATCTCGTAAAGAAAATGCTTGCAACGAGTACTGCTGTTAGTGAATTTAAGGCCAGAAAGGCTGATTCAACAGATTCAAGAAGCGTAGTGATATACACAATGTTGTAAGGCATGGTGAGGCTGCAAGTTCTGACAAACGTGCAGCTGAAGAATTCGTGCATGAATTCAAGGATCACGTAGAGGATGAAGGTTTCCTCTCCCAACAAGTGTTAAATTGTGATGAAACAGGACTCTTATGGAAGAAAATGTCAAAGAGGACCTACATCACGCAGGAGGAAAAGGCACTGCGAGGACACAAGCCTATAAAGGATAGGCTAACTCTTTTATGTGGTAATGCTAGTGGGGATTTCAAAGTGAAGCCTTTACTGGTGTATCACTCTGAAAATCCCAGAGTGTGTGTTGTGGAAAGCAAATAATAAGGCATGGGTCACAAGGCAAATTTTCATTGACTGGGTCCATGAAGTGTTTGGCCCGAGAATGAAAAAATACCTCCAGGAAAATAAATTGCCACTCAGTTGCCTCCTGGTACTGGACAATGCTCCTGCTCATCCTTCAAACTTGGTAGGCCAATTGTCTGTGGAGTTAAGTTTTATAACAGTGAAGTTCTTGCTTGCTTCCTAACACCGCTCCTCTCATCCCGCCCATGGACCAGCAGGTCATTTCTAACTTCAAAAACCTCTACACGAAAGCAATGTTTCAAAGGTACTTTGAAGTGACCTCGGACACTGACTTGTCCCTAAGAGCATTCTGGAGGAATCACTTCAATATCCTCCACTGCATAAGCCTTATAGGTAAGGCTTGGACCTTAAGGTCCAAGTCGGACCGGTTTCTTTTTCCTACATGCGGATTATTTGTGTATTATTCCAGTCACGATATTGCGCCTTTTTATTCTTTAGTAAAGCCTGGGGTGGCATAAATATAACAATATCCATTGCATAGTTACATTGTTCCTGTTGTCTGTAGATTCTAGAGTTTGATGAGTACTAGTGTGGCATTACCACATAAAAATCGACACCATGCCTAACCCTTCTAGGATAGGGTAGGTGCCTGAGCCCGAGCTTTTAGCTCATGAGACTGTCATTCCCATTTGCCCCCTTGGGGCGGGGATGACAGACCAGAGAGGCCTAGCTTGTGGCTAGGCCTGGGGACAGTTGGTCCCAAAGATGAGGAGGTACTTGTGCCTCCTCCCATGGGAGACTTAGGTCTCAGACAGTCCCTAAAGAGGGAGCCATGGCCGGGCCACCACTTGGAAAAGGCCTGGGCAGGGAGAATACCGGCGAATCTTTAATAATAATACCAAATAAAAATTTACTCTCCATTACAAAATTTATTCTCATTAACTGTGTAGTATAATAAATATTGTTTCGGTGCATTCGATGTGTGATACAGTCATACATACCAAGATAATGGTGGAGTCTACAGGGCATTCGAGTGTGATGGACCATTCCCAACGGGGTTTGGACATGACCACTGCATAATCGGTGGAGTCAGAAGACTTCAACTGGGCAACTTTAGAGATATGATAATTCTGCAGCAAAATGTGAAACTGTCAAGGTGGACATCTTGACAACTTCATTTATCACCTAAGTCAGTGTTCCTCCATGATAATGGAAAGAATCTTCCCATGAAGGTTGCCAAAATCTTTTTAAAGGTTAAATGATATAATTTTGGTGGGGACTTGAGGTAGAGATTGATACTTTGGAGTGGTAATCTATAGATGAACATCATTCTCGGGTACTAATCTGTAGCAAAATTTCGGAACTGCATGATGTGTCGAAAACTGAATATCTGCGTACAGTGACATATTGACTTATATCATTCATTCTTTAACAGTCTTAATGGAAGAATTATTGGTGAGCGATGGATCTGTGAGGTAGCGAGGGAGTGTTTTTCGGACGATGGGTACCCGTCCAAGATGGAACACCGTTTTGAGGTGACGTACTGTAGACTCAAATCAGGAACCTGATGGAGGCTCCACCCATAAGCATGCTATAATAATGTTACAAAGTGATCATTAAGATTTTTTCCTAATCGACCTTCTTGCCATGACAGTCTGGGTTTAATTGTGAGCGAATTAAATCAGATTCTTTGAGTAAAGCCTACAGTTTACATTTCGAGTTGGGTCCGCCTGTTTACCCTAGAAACAAGGTTTTTAAGTAACGACTACGTTATCACTTAACATTAAGCATGTCTGTTGTCTCTGAAGTAATGACTACGTTATCACATAACATTAAGCATGTCTGTTGTCTCTGAAGTAATAACTACGTTATCACTTAACATCAAGCATGTCTGTTGTCTCTGAAGTAATGACTACGTTATCACATAACATTAAGCATGTCTGTTGTCTCTGAAGTAATGACTACGTTATCACATAACATCAAGCATGTCTGTTGCCTCTGAAGTTACACCAGCACATTTCTTTTAGAGTAAGACCTTAATAATTGGAAATTATGATTACTGAAGACGAAGAAAGACGAAGTGTATAAGTGGATATAAAGAAGGTGTGGAAAAATAAATTTGCTTGCATGAATCTCATTAAATACATACCAGTAAATGGTAACAAAGATAATTATTCCTTATCAAAGTTACAGAGACAAGTAGGAATTTTAGGACACCCTGGTTGTCTTCAAGAGGAGCTGGACGGATACCTAAAGACGGTGCAGGATCAGCCGGGCTGTGGTTCGTACGTTGGATTGTGTGCGGCCAGCAGTAACAGCCTCGTTGATCAGGCCCTGATCCACTGGGAGGCCTGGTCGTGGACCGGGCCGCGGGGACATTGATTCCCGGAATGCCCTCCAGGTAGCTTCCAGGTAGCCCTTCGATACCTACTACAATCTATCTCTCCACAAATCACTCTGGACCTATATTAATTTCAAATGAAATGTACATCACCAGGAATTCTGGTAAAACATTAATATAAATATATGGACTGTATATTAAATTTAAAAAATGAATACATATACATTGAAGGAGAATCTATAATAAAATAATTCACCAATTTGTCTGGAGATTACTTGGTGTATCATACACAAACCCCTGCCTAAATTATGAAGAAAATACTGGCTAGAATTTCAACGTAAATAGACATCGACTTAGCTGGGGTTACCGGACTGTCCTGTCCACTCGCCTAATGCTCACTTTATGCAGGACTGCAAATCCATCAATTTCTGCTCTTATTTGGGAGGTTTCAATCACAATTTAACCTCCAGAGCGACGAAATTTATGCACATTTCACTCGCGTGCCTTCAGCCCAGTTCAAAACAATGGCGACTCCCCTCCAGCGACGCTCACCCATTTTGCTGGTTTTTTATTTATTTGCAAATTAATTTTTATTACCTACAATATATTCCATCAATTTACATACCAAAATACACTATTTTTGGAAAATATACAATATTTTCTACAGAAGGTTTTGAAGATATCATTCCAAGAAAGAACCCGCCATAATGGACTCAAATTAGACAAGTTTAGATTCTGAAAGGATATAGGAAAGTATTGGTTTGGGAATAGGGTAGTTGAGGAGTGGATCAGTGATTGAAGCTAAAACCTTGGGTAGTTTCAAGTTTAGGTTGGACAAATACATGAGTGAGAGGGGTTGGATTTGAGTGGGACTTGCATATGAGTGAATAGAATTATCAAAACGTATTGCCTGGGTAGCACTGAAAATTGGTATTACAACCCAGGAGTCCAAATGGCCTGTTATCCTGGATGTAAAGGGAGCAAAATAAGCACAGCAGAATAACTTTTGACTTATATTATCCTTCACCAATTTAGAACAAAAGTATGTACACTATATACACTATGTACAGTGATAGGTATTAGTGCACTCCACGGTAAGCAAGGCAGAATAGAAGCCACTAGAGAGCAGACCGTGCTTCAACCAGCTCTAGAATGGGAATGACAAGGGCAGACAGGAGAGTGGTACCCACATAACCTCTGCGATTGCCAAAAACCATCTTCTCATTGGCTGGAACCTGGGTGCTGGTCGAACGACGGGGCCCCATCGTTAACCCTTAGTTCCCTGGTTCGCTGGTTGGGGGAGATTGCCTGTAAATGAGGGTGTGTTCATGCGCCGAATATAGGTTACGTACTCTTTGCATGCCACAATTGGGTTGGGCAAATCTTCCGTTAGTGAGATGGATTGTGAAGGACCTGCCTAGTATGGGCCAGTAGGCCTGCAGCAGTGCTCCTCCTTTCTTATGTTCTTATATTTACCAAGTAACACATCTTCATAAGTTTAGTTATAACCTCTATTAAGCAGTGAATAAAGTAATTGAATTATGTTAAATAATCACTCTTATTTCATACATTATTTCAAATATTAATACGTATTTTATTATTTACAAAATATTTCTGATCATTAATCAATAAATAAATATTAAGAATAAAATACAAAAAAATAACTACACACCAGAAAGTTAAGACAAGTGCCAGGTGCCAGAATGATGAAGACAAGTGCCAGGTACCAGAAAGATGAAGACAAGTGCCAGGTACCAGAAAGATGAAGACAAGTGCCAGAATGATGAAGACAAGGGCCAGGTGCCAGAATGATGAAGACAAGTGCCAGGTACCAGAAAGATGAAGACAAGTGCCAGGTACCAGAAAGATGAAGACAAGTGCCAGAATGATGAAGACAAGGGCCAGGTGCCAGAATGATGAAGACAAGTGCCAGGTACCAAAAGATAGACAAGTGCCGAATGATGAAAAACAAGGCCAGGTGCCTAATGATGAAGACAGTGCCAGTACCAGAAGATGTAAGACATGCCAGGATGATGAAGACAAGGGCCAGGTGCCAGAATGATGAAGACAAGTGCCGGGTACCGAAAGATGAAGACAAGTCCGGGTACCAGAAAGTGAAGACAAGCAGATATGAAGACAAGTGCCGGGTTTACCAGAAAGATAAGACAAGTGCCAGAATGATGAAGACAAGGGCCAGGTGCCAGAATGATGAAGACAAGTGCCAGGTGCCAGAATGATGAAGACAAGTGCCAGGTGCCAGAATGAAGACAAGTGCCAGGTGCCAGAATGATGAAGACAAGTGCCAGAATGATGAAGACAAGGGCCAGTGCCGAATGATAAGGGACAAGTGCAGGTGCCAGAATGATAAAGACAAGGGCCAGGTGCCAGAGATGAAGTCAAGGGCCAGGTGCCAAAGAATGATGAAGAAAAGAGTGCCAGGTGCCAGAATGATGAAGACAAGTGCCAGGTGCCAGAATGATGAAGACAAGTGCCAGGTGCCAGAATGATGAAGACAAGTGCCAGGTGCCAGAATGATGAAGACAAGTGCCAGGTGCCAGAATGATAGACAAGATATTAAAACAGTAGTCAGGCTTCATATCGTATCATTATACAAGATTTTAATATCCAAGGTGGGAAACACAGAGCGTGTTTCCTTACACCTGTTGTCCCGTTCACCTAGCAAGCAAGTAGGAATCCGGGTGTTAGTCAAGTAGATACCTGCGTGTTAGTCAAGTAGGTACCTGAGTGTTAGTCAAGTAGGTACCTGGGTGTTAGTCAAGTAGGTACCTGGGTGTTAGTCAAGTAGGTACCTGTGTGTTAGTCAAGTAGGTACCTGTGTGTTAGTCAAGTAGGTACATGGGTGTTAGCCAAGTAGGCACCTGGGTGTTAGTCAAGTAGGTACCTGGGTGTTAGTCAAGTAGGTACCTGGGTGTTAGCCAAGTAGGTACCTGGGTGTTAGCCAAGTAGGTACCTGGGTGCTAGTCAAGTAGATACCTGGGTGTTAGTCAAGTAGGTACCTGGGTGTTAGTCAAGTAGGTACCTGGGTGTTAGCCAAGTAGGTACCTGGGTGTTAGCCAAGTAGGTACCTCGGATGTTAGCCAAGTAGGTACCTGGGTGTTAGTCAAGTATGTACCTGGGTGTTAGTCAAGTAGGCACCTGGGAGTTAGTCAAGTAGGTACCTGGGTGTTAGTCAGGTAGGTACCTGGGTGTTAGTCAAGTAGGTACCTGGGTGTTAGCCAAGTAGGTACCTGGGTGTTAGCCAAGTAGGTACCTGGGTGCTAGCCAAGTAGGTACCGGGTTTTAGCCAAGTAGGTACCTCGGATGTTAGCCAAGTATGTACCTGGGTGTTAGTCAAGTAGGTACCTGGGAGTTAGTCAGGTAGGTACCTGAGTGTTAGTCAGGTAGGTACATGGGTGTTAGTCAAGTAGGTACCTGGGTGTTAGCCAAGTAGGTACCTGGGTGTTAGTCAAGTAGGTACCTGTGTGTTAGTCAGGTACATGGGTTTTAGCCAAGTAGGCACCTGGGTGTTAGTCAAGTAAGTATCTAGATGTTAGTCAAGTAGGTACCTGGGTGTTAGTCAAGTAGGTGCGTGGGTGTTAGTCAAGTAGGTACCTGGGTGTTAGTCAAGTAGGTACCTGTGTGTTAGTCAAGTAGGTGCCTGGGTGTTAGTCAAGTAGGTACTTGTATGTTAGTCAAGTAGGTACCTGGGTGTTAGTCAAGTAGGTACCTGAGTGTTAGTCAAGTAGGTACCTGGGTGTTAGTCAAGTAGGTACCTGTGTTTTAAAGTCAAGTAGGTGCCTGGGTTTAGTCAAGTGGGTACTGATGTTGTCAAGTAGGTACCTGGGTTTAGTCAATGGTACCCGAGTGTTAGTCAAGTAGGTACTGGTGTTAGTCAAGTAGGTACTTGGGTGTTAGTAAGTAGGTACCTGGGTGTAGTCAAGTGGTACCTGGTGTCAGTTGACGAAGTGGGGGGCATCTGGGGGACAAGATTGAGAACCACAATGGAAATTAAGACAGACAGTCTCGTTGAACACGGACTTCTTGGTATTCAGGGTTGGCTAACCCCGAGTTTAAAAACCGCAAAATCATATCTTAATCTTATCTTAAAATATTTGGGCATCGTCAGAACGAAATTTATGTAATTAGGAAACGGGTATGCAACAAGGGCAAAACCCTCCTAATTTCCAGAGACTGGCCAGATACCCCTCAGGTAACATCCGTGAGGTTGGTTGCAAGCAGCGAAGATGTTGCATGAGGTTGGTTGCGAGCAGCGAAGATGTTGCATGAGGTTGATTGCAAGCAGCGAAGATGTTGCATGAGGTTGATTGCAAGCAGCGAAGATGTTGCATGAGGTTGATTGCAAGCAGCGAAGATGTTGCATGAGGTTGATTGCAAGCAGCGAAGATGTTGCATGAGGTTGATTCAAGCAGCGAAGATGTTGCATGAGGTTGAGTTGCAAGCAGCGAAGATGTTGCATGAGGTTGATTGCAAGCAGCGAAGATGTTGCATGAGGTTGATTGCGAGCAGCGAAGATGTTGCATGAGGTTGATATCAAGCAGCAAGTTTGACTCAAGTCAGCGTAAAGCTGCATCAGCATACATCTGCAACCAAATGGATGACGTCATCTCATGTTATGACCAACATAAATAACGCAGAATATTGCACAAGTTTGTAATAATAAACGGTGTAAAACCGACAAGTTGAAGACTGAGACACTTATGCAATATATGGGAATATTTATTGACGAAACCTTTCGTCACACAGTGACTTCATCAGTCCAATATAAATGGGAAAGGTGTAAGGTGGTGGTCCGGTGGCCTGGTGGCTAAAGCTCCTGCTTCACACACGGAGGGCCCGGGTTCGATTCCCGGCGGGTGGAAACATTTCGATACGTTTTCTTACACCTGTTGTCCTGTTCACCTAGCAGCAAATAGGTACCTGGGTGTTAGTCGACTGGTGTGGGTCGCATCCTGGGTGACAAGATTAAGGACCTCAATGGAAATAAGTTAGACAGTCCTCGATGACGCACTGACCTTCTTGGGTTATCTTGGGTGGCTAACCCTCCGGGGTTAAAAATCCGAACGAAATCTTATCTTATCTTAAGGAGAGGAGGAGTTTGGGGCAATCAGTCCCTCAGCTGAGAGACTGATTACCTCAAACTCCTCCTCTTCTTACCCCTCACTACTTTGCATTGGACTGATGAAGCCACTGTGTGGCGAAACGTTTCGTCAATAAATATTCCCATGTGTTGCTTAAGTGTCTCAGTCTTTAAATTTGTAATGCAGATAATATAATATTAAATCAAGAGCAGTATTCACATGTCATTATATGGACACTAACATTCAAATTTCTTCAAACCTATAAAAGAGATTAAAGAAATCAATATCCTAAAATACACAAGCACGTGAAGTTTGAAGCCGCTCAGGATCTGCATTATCAAGTTAGCGTTGGAAGGTAGAAGCTAATCGAACGTGACATCCCTTGAAAACATCCCTTGAAACGCAGCTGTTCAGTTTTCTAAGTATCTTCCATGATAAAATGCAAATTAGGATCTACTCAAGACATAATCAATTTAATGTTTTCTCTAAGTAAGAGTGGCAAGAGTTTAAGTATGTAAGTAATTAGGTAAGCTTCAGGTACTATTTTTGTCATAGGTTTCTTGGTTACATTGTGATTATTGGCACATAAAACTACATTATGTAGATCTGAACTAGGATAACACAAATTAGTCAACCACTGTGGTTTAACCACTGTGGTTTATTTCTGTCCAGGAGAGATATTCTCCACCACAATAAGACTTACATAACCTAAAATCAAGGAGGAAAATATACGAGTACTAAAATCAAGGAGGAAAATATACGAGTACTAAAATCAAGGAGGAAAATACATGAGTACTAAAATCAAGGAGGAAAATATACGAGTACTAAAATCAAGAAGGAAAATACATGAGTACTAAAATCAAGGAGGAAAATATACGAGTACTAAAATCAAGGAGGAAAATATACGAGTACTAAAATCAAGGAGGAAAATACATGAGTACTAAAATCAAGGAGGAAAATATACGAGTACTAAAATCAAGGAGGAAAATATACGAGTACTAAAATCAAGGAGGAAAATATACGAGTACTAAAATCAAGGAGGAAAATATACGAGTACTAAAATCAAGAAGGAAAATATACGAGTACTAAAATCAAGGAGGAAAATACTTGAGTACTAAGAGTTTAACTCTGACCAGAAGATGACTTCCTCAGTTACTGCACACAAGCAAACATAACTGACACCTACTCAATGTAAAGCCAAAAGAAATATCATCCATTTCATTAGATGAATCAACAGTTAAAGACATAACATTCACAGTTGTTTTAGTATAATATTAGCACCAATCCGCTAGGGGTCGTATATCACCGGTGGAATGAGAGACATTTAGGTTCCTGGAAGGAGAGGAGAAGTCCACTTCTTTCGTAATTAAAGCCTCTCACCAGCATCAAAGCAAAGTAAGCAATAAATAATTCTTTACCAATTTGAGATAAAGAAATGGCTAAATAGCATCTAGTCACTCCACTAAAAAAAAATCAACCTTTGAAGTAGAATACATGTATGCTGAAATTTTGAAGCTGACTAGAAATTGCTTTTTCTGCTATTCCCTGAAAAGTTATCCGAGACTGGCTTATGTAACATGAGAAATGGCACGAGATCGGATCTTGAGACAGATTACACTACTAAGGCACCGCCCACATATATCATGTGTTCCTCGACCGGGTCTACAGGTTACGTGAGTGAGAAAAACTGAGAATAAGAAGCAGTCGAAGACAGGGAGGAGCACCAGTAAACACAACCGGGACTCCAGGGAGACACTGCGCTCAGCCAAGCTGGGGGGACATCAAGCTCCGACCCCAGTAGTCCCTTAAACATGACTCACGAAATCGTAATGATACGATTGCAAACAAACCATACCACGGGCGGGGTTAGAACCTGCGATATTGAAGACTCTCTTATCGCGGGTTCTAACCCCGCCCGGGGGTATGGTTAGTCCCTTAACCCCAACCCCCCCTTCTCAATACAATAAATAAAAAATTACTCTATTCTACCCACACTCCCAACCTAACAACCTCAACCAGTGCAGGACCTTCTCACACCCCATGTTAATCCAACCTGCATCCTTCCTTTATTTCCCACCCTACTCATCTAACCTATGCCCACAGTCCTACCACCTTCCAGTGCAAGATTCAACCCCAGAACCAGCCCTTATCATCGCTCCATCCCCCACCCCTCCTTATACCCACTCCTCCCCTGACACATGAGCAAGAACCAAGAGAAGAAGATCTTGAAAAGCTGTACACAATAACCCTTAGGAAACTAAATGTGTAGCTCGCTTATGCAGAGAGGATAACAAATAAGAGTGATGAATAGAAAAAGAAAATAGTGGAGGCATCCCCAGACATTGTAGCAATAACAGAGACTAAGCTCACAGAAGTGATAACAGATGCAGCCTTCCCAGGAGGATATCAAATAATGAGAAGGGAGAGAGTGAGCAGACAAGATGGAAGAGCAGTAATGCACCTCAGACACAGATTCATTATATATTTATACATTAATATTGTTTTATTTTTCATATAATTTTATATTGCTGATGCTTTCAGTAATAGCTAAATGAAAATTTGATGCTTTATATTATTATTTGACTTATATATTTAGCTTATGTATGTAGGTAGGATGTAACAACATCCTTCATTGTGCTCATTAGAGGAGAGTTTTGCTTGGCTGCTAATGCTGCTAACTACCTGCTTGCATGTTTCGCAGTTCGTGCCAGGCTGAAGCTGGTACGAGTACCTGAGTCACCTGATGTTGGATCTGCAGGTCGCCTTGCTTCCCTCTCTCTCTCTCTCTCTCTCTCTCTCTCTCTCTCTCTCTCTCTCTCTCTCTCTCTCTCTCTCTCTCTCTCTCTCTCTCTCTCGCTGTTGTTCTTAGAGAAAACATCTCCTTTCTCTGTTCTGTCATCTCGTGTTAGACTCTGTGGTAGAGTATGTCTGCATTGGTGAGCCAGGACATACTTCTTGTAACTCTGTGCAACTCTGTTCACAAAGCATTATTTAGACTTCGTGATATTTGACCTTATCAGACGTCTTGTGTCGTAAGACGCTCTCTATATCTCTGATCCTGAGTTTAAATCTCGACTTACAGTTGTTTCAGCATCTACGCACTGTTTAGTCGGTAATTTGGAATTGCTAAACTCAGTTTCAGTAATAAGGGAGTTTAGCAAATTCAGGGAGGATTTGCTAATGGTCCCTGGGTCGTTTTTGGTCTCCTTGATTCCTTGCCTGACGCTGTGCTATTCACTGGTGATTGGAGCATTACTGCCGTTTTGCGAATGTATCGTTATAGTGTTCAAGTAAGCTGTTTGATCACCTCGATGGTCCAGAAGTTAGCTTATTTAGGGACGTGTTGTCTGTCACATTCGAGTCAATCTGAGCAAATATCGAGCATTTACACTTACACAATATTACTCTTGTGTAAGTGTAAGTGTAAGAACGTACCAGACGGTACTTATTGTGAGGAGTACAGTATCTTATCAAATGTGCCCATAGCATATAATTATGTGTACAAAATAATTGATATATAGGTATACCAGGTTATACTCCAAGAATTGTGTAAGAGATTATCTCCTTAATTATTCAAACGACATTAACTGTAATTATTACCACCTAGACACCTTTGTTATTAAAGATCTCAACTTTCATTTGGTTGGTTTTTATTCATCCATTTGTAATCCAAAAAGA